TTTTCAAAAAGTTATAACACTTTAAAGTTTTTACTAATAAACATTGGATGCGTTTTACTGTCCGGTACTGTATAAATTTAACTATATTATAACCCATCATTCCCACTATCTAATGTTAATTAAGCTAAAATTAACTTTAAATCTACTTATTATGTAGAATTGAATTCTCTAACAAATTTAGTTTGAAATTCCGTTGCAATATAAATATAAATGAAAGTAATAGTAATAAAACTAAGCAAAAGTAAGATGTTACAGTTGCAATTGACCTATTGCACACAATGCAATTTTATTGGTTGATTGTCACGTGTTAAATTAAATGGCCAATTATATGGCGAGAAAGTTATCCTATATCCGATCCTATGTCCATTGCTTTTGATCGGACAATTCGGACACTGGACATCGGACAGATTTCCATTGTCCGAATTCCATTCATACCAACCCTGGCGTCCGGGGCACTCCGTACTTTTTATAATCAAATTAATTCTTAGCATCCTTAGCCTTGGATAATGAACTATAGCGACACAAAATTAATATTTATTAAGCGTCCAGATGATATTAGTATAACGACGAATGTCATGTGAACCTAAACGTTTAACGTTAAATATGCAAATTATGTGGTAGTCTAAAACTATTATGAGCTGATAGAATTTTTTTTTAATTCCAAATAAAATGGATATTTGTGTTTCTATTATCGGAGCCACTGATTATAGTACCCAGAGTACTATACAAGAAATCATCTAATTGCTAAATTAGGGGATACTTTACATGTTTAAATATGATTTAATAAAGATTTCGAATATAAGTATGTATGTATCTATAATAATACACAAATCTTTTTAAATTTTCTAATCATGACCCACGAATTACACCTAGTTTTTTTAATGGGATATTATAACAGGGGCACTGTGGTCAATGGAGTACGGTAATTTAGTAATTAAAATTCTATAAAATATTGTGTTAAGATATTATAAAATATAATGAAAAGATAGAGTTCTTTTTGTTTTTATAAATGTTTACCCAACTCGACCTTTTTCTTGAAAGTTTTTTCAGCGTTATATATAAAACCATCTAATATTCCAGCTACTGTAAAAATTCCCCCAATTATAGCACATACACCTGTTAAAAAATGGGTAAAACTTTTACTTTCTTCACGATTAATAATCAACATTGGGGAAATTTCATAATTAAAGAATACACCTATAAAGTAAACAGATGTTATTTATTTAAATTATTTTATTTTTATTTTTTTAATCAATACTTACCTGGTAAACCGCCTATGTGATTATGTGAATGAGTGTGGTCTCTACCAGTTAAATCACGTTCAAATTGTGTCACAGAATATTGATTTGTGTAAATAGCGGTATTATCAAGAAAATAGAAATGTGTAGACACCACTTTGAGAAAATACTGAAACATGTAATGCCCTAAAAGACAGTCACTGTCAATCTATTGTATAGTGAGATAACTATTAAAATTTCCCGAAAATACCTGTAGTAACTGTTCCGCTAACGCCATCCAAAGGATTCACCACACCATCAACTTTAGGTCCAAAACTCAAATGATGAATTTCATGTGTAAAATCATGGTGAACACCATCACTTAAAAATGGTTGTAAATCATGAACATGAATATGATTTTGCTGAAAACTTTTGCCAGGTGCAAGATGAAAGTTTCCAGCTACTTTGTTTACTTTAACACTACCAGCCACATTACAACCTTCTTTTGATTGTTCAGTTACCTTTTCTTTCCAGCCTTCTCTAACACACTGATAAATGAAATAATTGTTCAGTTAGAAAAATTTGATTATATAAATAATATAAATTGAATATTCGTTATGAGTTAAATATTTATGTGGTGCGTCAAATTAAATAACTATCCCTTAAACCGTCAATTTAGCTACATATCTACTACGATTTAGACTACAATCCAATATAATTTGATAGCTTAATCACAAATCAATCATGAAATTGCCGGGCAAATGAAAAACAGTTTAAGGGATAATCCCGATAATATTCTTTTTTAATTTGATGTACAATATTTATAAAATACCTGTTCAATATCATCGGGGCTGTTGAAAGACCATCCACTCTTAATATAAGCCTCACGAACTTCATCACATGTATTACAACATCCACTTTCTGGAACTACCCCACCATAACAACTACCGCAATATGCATCACCACCCGATGCTGTACTATTGACAATCTTTACTATATCTTTTGTGGGATCTCCAATATCTATGTTAAAATATATATATTTATATATCAAATTATTTAATAGTTATTCATATAAAATAAAATTCACATTATTTTGATCATATAGTTTAACCGTATGGTCGACTTCTAATCATACCTGTGGCTTTCTCAATATGAATGGGAGCTCCATCAGCATCTAATCGAGTCTTATAGATGTCATGAGTGAGATCATTTTGTGTCTCGCCTGCAACATCCATTACATCAACACTTAAAACTTGAAATTATTTTGAATTTGTGAGAATATATCAGTAAATTATATGATCAAAGAAACGAATATAATAATAATTATGTGACTACTTACGGTAGCATGGTACTTTTGGGAAGGTTATATTGATATTTATTGTTAATTTTTCTTTTCTACTTTTATCTACGACTAATTCGGGTTTTATCTCGGTTGCCCTATACTCGTTAAACTCAGACCAAAGCAAACTTAAGACAATGATGGTGCTTAAAATAGTTACTATTGTTTGAAATAAATTTTAATAGCGTTGATTATAGTACGTAAACGTTCTGTGAAGTGAAATAAAAAAATGGCTAACATACGTGCGGCTCCATAGTACGTTTTAACGCGAAAATCGTCGAGAGTTTTAGCGTATGCATCGAAATTTTGAAATTGGCTTAACACCGAACCACGTTTTCCCATTGTAAGAAGAAGGTACAGTATTAAAAATTCAACACGATTGTTGGAAGAATATTATTGGCCTGATAGCGGAGTCGCAGTTCCTCTCACAAATTGCAGATCTTGATGTGTAACATCTAACGCATTCCCCAATTTTGATTCTGGCCAATCAGAGTGCAAGATCGGGTGTAACGTACTAACAAAAAAAAAAAAAATTCCTTGGTACAGGACATGTAAATTGGTGCGAATAATCTTAGCCAATCAAAACTGGGAGTGATATCTAAAAATAGATTAGCCAATAAAAATTGTTATGATTAAAGCAATTAATGGCAATTTGGCAATGAACACATGCCGCATTGGGGTGTGCGATATTCTATGTAAATCAAAACTATATGTGGTCCCTTAAATATTTTAATTAGTAATGATTTTTTTAGTGATCGATTATATAAT